GGCTAACCCCTTACATTCATGAATTTCAACAAAAAGTCATATTTGCCCAAATTTGATAAAAATGAAAGGCTAACCCCTTACATACATGAATTTCAAGAAAAAGTCAAATTTGCCCAAATTTGATAAAAAAAGCAAGGCTAAACCCTTACATTCATATATTTTCTGAAAAAGTCAAAATTTGGCCCAAATTTGATAAAAATGCAAGGCTAACCCCTTACACTCATGAATTTCAAGAAAAAGTCAAATTTGGCCCAAATTTGATAAAAATGCCAGGCTAACCCCTTACATTGGTGAATATCAAGAAAAAGTCAAATTTGTCCCAATTTTGATGAAAATGCAAGGCTAACCCCTTACATTCATGAATTTCCTAAAAAAAGTCAAAATTTGGCCCAATTTTGATAAAAATGCAAGGCTAACCCCTTACATTTGTAAATATCATGAAAAAAAATCAAATTTGGCCCAATTTTGATAAAAATGCAAGGCTAACCCCTTACATTTGTGAATATCATGAAAAAATCAAATTTTGCCCAATTTTGATAAAAATGCAAGGCTAACCCCTTACATTTGTGAATTTCAAGAAATAGTCAAATTTTGCCAAATTTTGATTAAAATGCAAGGCTAACCCCTTACATTCATGAATTTCAAGAAAAAAGTCATATTTGCCCAAATTTGAGAAAAATGCAAGGCTAACCCCTTACATTCATGAATTTCAACAAAAAGTCAAATTTGCCCAAATTTGATTAAAAATGCAAGGCTAACCCCTTACATTCATGAAATTCAACAAAAAGTCATATTTGCCCAAATTTGAGAAAAATGCAAGGCTAACCCCTTACATTCATGAATTGCAACAAAAAGTCAAATTTGCCCAAATTTGATTAAAAATGCAAGGCTAACCCCTTACATTCATGAATTTTCTGAAAAAGTCCAAATTTGGCCCAATTTTGATAAAAATGCAAGGCTAACCCCTTACATTCATGAATTTCAACAAAAAGTCAAATTTGCTCAAATTTGATTAAAAATGCAAGGCTAACCCCTTACATTCATGAATTTTCTGAAAAAGTCCAAATTTGGCCCAATTTTGATAAAAATGCAAGGCTAACCCCTTACATTCATGAATTTCCTGAAAAAGTCAAATTTTGCCCAATTTTGATAAAAATGCAAGGCGCCCCTTACATTCATGAATTTCAACAAAAAGTCAAATTTGCCCAAATTTGATAAAAATGCAAGGCTAACCCCTAACATTCATGAATTTCAAAAAAGTCAAATTTGCCCAAATTTTATTAAAAATGCAAGGCTAACCCCTTACATTCATGAATTTTCTGAAAAAGTCAAAATTTGGCCCAATTTTGATAAAAATGCAAGGCTAACCCCTTACACTCTTGAATTTCAAGAAAAAGGCAAATTTTGCCCAATTTTGATAAAAATGCAAGGCTAACCCCTTACATTGGTGAATATCAAGAAAAAATCAAATTTTGCCCAATTTTGATAAAAATGCAAGGCTAACCCCTTACATTCATGAATTTCAACAAAAAGTCAAATTTGCCCAAATTTGATTACAAATGCAAGGCTTACCCCTTACATTCATGAAATTCAACAAAAAGTCATATTTGCCCAAATTTGAGAAAAATGCAAGGCTAACCTCTTACATTCATGAATTCAACAAAAAGTCAAATTTGCCCAAATTTGATTAGAAATGCAAGGCTAACCCCTTACATTCATGAATTTCAACAAAAAGTCAAATTTGCCCAATTTTGATAAAAACGCAAGGCTAACCCCTTACATTCATGAATTTCCTGAAAAAGTCAAATTTTGCACAATTTTGATAAAAATGCAAGGCTAACCCCTTACATTCATGAATTTCCTGAAAAAGTCAAATTTTGCACAATTTTGATAAAAATGCAAGGCTAACCCCTTACATTCATGAATTTCAACAAAAAGTCATATTTGCCCAAATTTGATAAAAATGAAAGGCTAACCCCTTACATACATGAATTTCAAGAAAAAGTCAAATTTGCCCAAATTTGATAAAAAAAGCAAGGCTAAACCCTTACATTCATATATTTTCTGAAAAAGTCAAAATTTGGCCCAAATTTGATAAAAATGCAAGGCTAACCCCTTACACTCATGAATTTCAAGAAAAAGTCAAATTTGGCCCAAATTTGATAAAAATGCCAGGCTAACCCCTTACATTGGTGAATATCAAGAAAAAGTCAAATTTGTCCCAATTTTGATGAAAATGCAAGGCTAACCCCTTACATTCATGAATTTCCTAAAAAAAGTCAAAATTTGGCCCAATTTTGATAAAAATGCAAGGCTAACCCCTTACATTTGTAAATATCATGAAAAAAAATCAAATTTGGCCCAATTTTGATAAAAATGCAAGGGTAACCCCTTACATTTGTGAATATCATGAAAAAAACAAATTTTGCCTAATTTTGATAAAAATGCAAGGCTAACCCCTTTTATTGTTGATTTTTAAGCAAATTGTCAAATTTGGCCCAGTTTTGGTAAAAATGCAAGGCTAACCCCTTACATTTTGTAATTTCTAGAAAAAAAATCAAATTTTCCCCAATTTTGAAATAATTGCAAGGCTTACCCCTTACATTCATAGCCAAAAAATGATAAAAATGGCAAAGAGGTTGGCCTAACGGTTTTTAATGTAATTGGTCCAAAAAGGCTCGTCAATTCTTAACAGGGAATACGTTTCATAACATTATGACCTTTCCAGCTAAGCTTAATTTGCTCTTGATGTTAGTCTTAATTTGGTAAAAAAAACAAGTGATTTTTGATCAATTGTCTTGTTTTACTTGCTCTTAAATTGCAGTCGAAATCATCACTAAACGCAAGTCTATGAATGCATGTATACCTTTAATGTAATACCTTGAAGACGGTGTGCAGCGCACGAACAACACGTAAAGCATGTCCCACTACGTCGGCACCCCACAATAAATAATTACCGGTCTCTCCAATTGGGCGCCAAAAAACCTCCAAAGTAAATTGATAAATTAATTGGCTGACCCACATGATGTTTTGATTAGTGACTCTGTCGTTTCTTGGAACATTTCTTCTTCTTTTTTTGCTCTCTTGACAATGTTTATTTACCACACATCTTCACTATTCAGAACACGAATTGTTGCGTATAATTTCTTCTTTAAATATTTAATCTTCATGATTCAACAGACAAATAATTGTTCAACATTTCGTTCCATTTCAACGGCATATTACTTCATCTTTAACCCGTCAACGAATTGGCAAAAGGTTCAATTTTTTAACTTCAAATTTTTCAACTGTAACTGGTCATTTCTCTGCCTTGTCCGTTTATCATTATTTCTGTTAATTAAGGAGTCTTTATTTTCCATTGAGAGTTCAAATGCACTTAAATCCTTTGCCGAGTACTCTGCCACACCTGGAAACTATCACCCTTAAAAACTTGAGCCACTTTCACCTGGACAAACTGAAAACAGGAGTTAAGCATTGAATATCACAGGTGAGAGTGGGCCAAGTAAAATGTACACCCTTTCACTTAATTTGATTGTATTTCTGGATCTAGGGACCCAAATGGAATGGGGTAAAAAGGAGTTGATTGAGAAAAAGTCAGTCTTTGATGTAATATATCAGTTTATTGAAGAAAAAAAACTGTAAACAGTTTATTTATTTGTTTTCTAAATGTTGCACTTTTGTGTCACTCTCTGTATAGGCTTACAAACAGATCTCCTTAAACTGTACGACTTTCATTACCTTTTCATATCTTCCAGACTGAGTGCAAAGCCATTGTAAGACATTGAGGTTTTTTCTGTTTTTAATTCTCACCACAAAATAAGCACAGAACCTCTCAGTTTAATTCAGTGTTAATTTTAAATTCGTCTATATTTATATGCCTAGCTTATAATCAAGCGCAACAAAAGTTCTGCTGACTCGAACTCAACCTTTGAAGATTTCCCCAGGCCCTTGAAATTCTATCCTCCTGTTCATGAAAAGCCTCTCATGGACACCGGTTATTGAAAAGTCGGTCGGCCAACATATTAAGTATCCAAACTAGAGCTTGGGGAATAGCAAGTACACTTTTCTGCTGGGTTGTGTGGCAAGTTATCCACGGGTTAAGGGTACCATACTTTGAAGTGGTCTAAATTGACATAACATTGAGGTGAAGTTTCTCTGCGATGAAAAAAGTTCTGACTCTTTTCCGGGTCAAAAATGACACCTTTCTGGGTCAAAATGACACTTAGTGACTCATTTTCCGGGACATTTTGACCCGGAAAAGTATTATTTTGACCCGGAAAAGTATCATTTTGACCCGGAAAAGTATAATTTTGACCCGGAAAAGGGTCAGTTTGACCTGGAATAGGGCTAGGCCCTACATGACCCTATTCCGGGTCAAATCTGACCCGGGACTTTTTAGAGTGTAGGAAAGGCAGGTGTAAACCTTTGGTACATTGATTGTTCCCTAATCATAATTGACTTTATCCGCTGCAGGTGTATGGAGAGTGCTCTTTGTTATTTAATTGATTAATAATACATGCACAAAGTTGACTCATACCTATTCTTGTGATACAAAACTATTGGCCTTTAACACATACGGCCTGTAGGTTTGATTCTGCAATTTATGGTAGTTTTCCCTCTTCGCCGACAGAAAATGCTCTGTTCTTTATTCCAACTGTTTACCAATAATAGTGATCGATTTCTATCTAGTAAAACTGAAGACATGAAGATATATTTCAACACTGACCGTTTTAGCTTAAAGGGAGTAATTAAATTACAATAGAATGGTAAAGCGAAGACTGAAAATAAAATTGGGACAAATTTGTGCATTTTAAAGATTCCACGAGATAGAGTTGCATCAAGTCACAAGGCTTCGCCAGTCAATCACTTGTGATTGACTTGTGACGACTTGTGTTTGACTTGTGTTTGACTTGTGATTGACTTGTGATTGACTTGTGTTTGACTTGTGATTGACTTGTGGTTGGCATGTGATGACTTGTGATTTGTGATTGACTCGTGATTGACTTGTGATTGATTGTGATGGCTAATAATGATTTGAATACAACCCCTAGACACTGAATCGTTCTAGCTTGTAGCGTAAAAGATGTACTGGGCAGGGAATTATCACTTACATTATTCAAAAGCGAGCAATCATTACAGTATACACATGGGAACTGCATTAAATAGTAACATCCTTGATCACTAAATTATTCAATTGTGATACCGAACTGTAAGGGCAGCCAGCCGGAAAGGCATGACTCTATCATCAGTAACCGAAGTTCACTGCCCCGATACGTAGCCTTCGTTGCGACAGTTATTTGTTTTCCTTGACCCTCAGTGTTTACACTTTCAAGAATCAATGTTTAACTGATCGCATGCAGCTGCATAATTGATGGTTGTGAGGTTTTGTTTGTAATTCAGTGGCCATTGAAGACATTTAGTGGTAAACGATTCTCCAAAATATCATGACTCACTTATTTGACGAGCATTTTGCCTGAAAAAAAAATCTGCAAAGATGATTCTTGACAGTTGAGACAAAAGTGAAATTGAGAGCTTGACTCTGAAGAGAAAACGAAATCGTCTTGACTCACACATTTATTTTAAATAACTAGCTTAGGTATGTCAAAGGAACCCAAAGCACGTTTTGAAATTTAAATATATAGTCGCAAGGTGGCGCAATTCTGAAACTAAAAATGTTATTTTTCTACTTGATATAGCCTCTTTAAGTTCAGATGTTCAGACGTATAGTCTTTTCATGTTCAGAAAACCTTGTGCCTATTTCACTCTTCTTCTTTTTTGTGTTTTACTGAAAACACTTTCACTAAAACATGCTTGTTTTCAAATGAGTAAATGTTCATGTAGTTTCCTACATGACTTTGCGCGGAAATGCCATTACTTTGTCAAGCTTTCTATATTCTACGCATTCTGTATAAGGCACGTGTGGGGAAAAGAAAAAAGCTCGTCGCTACATTGTTTAGCCAACAAATACCCAATCAATTTACGACTGATTTCACAAAAGGGATGCTTACCAAAAGAGAAAAAATCAACAAAGACTTCCGAGAAATTACACAACAGTTAAATTACGAAACCCACTGTCAGTTTCCTATGAATGGAACGCGTTGTGAAACAACCCACGATCGACAACAAAGCAAGATAAGCAAGCTCAAAATTATGATCGCAAGCGTTCATCACGTTGTCAAATTAATTATGCGGGTTTTTTCCTACAAATTCTGCATCTGATAAGGTCTAAGCATTGCTACACTTGAAATACATTCTGCACTGGTTTTTTTTATTTCTCTACAATTTTCTCGAAACCATTCGTAGTTGTCTCTACACCTTGAATTCATCATGGCTTCCCTTGAGTTAAAGACAACCTAGATACAGTCATTTAAGTCTACTTTCACGGTCAACAGATTACAATTGTAATCCATAAACAGCAACAAAATATTTTCCTCATCCAGAATTACTTTGTTGTCTGGCCATGTCACCTAAAATCACGCCTTACCGTGCAAAAAAGGCACCAGCATAAATTGATATAATCTAACCATTATAAGACACTTACAATTACATGAATGCTCTTCTACATACATCTTTAAGTCTTTCTGTCCTTGTTCATTCGTTTCAAACACTTTGTAAGTCAGCATAATTTTTAAGTCACTATACATTTCTAAATCATTATTCTTTCTGACTGTGGTTTTTCGATAGAGTGTTGCCGTTAATGCAAAGTAGAACAATGAATACGCGGAGGGAAACAAACCCACGCTTGGCAGATGTTCCGGCGAAACGTTTGATCTCGAAGTCTTCGTCTTGTTACTCGGAGACCTCAGCTTCTGCTACCCGACCTAGCTTCCTCCGTATCGGGCCCGGCAGATCGAACAGGGGCAGGTTGGGAAGTCTTGTGAATGCTCCTGGGAATAAAAATAAAAGAAATTAGTAAATACAATCCTATTCAAAAAGGTATATATTTTTCCAATATTGACACCAAAGTAAGGCAGGTATGCCCCAACTGTGGCAGCGGTCCCAACTATAGTTGGGACGGCCCCAAGTATTGTTGGAATGGTACCAACCATAGATGAGGAATTGCCGTAGTTGGGGCGTAATAAGACTACAGGGGTATCAATCAGGGATTAACTCCAAAACATCCATACTTCAATTCTCATACTTGCAGAACAGCACAGTTGACTTTAAAATGGTATCACGTGACAATTTTGTTGAAAAAAAATTATATATTAAAATAGACTGGTACACGAATCAAACGAATTACGATGTCACTCCTATTGACCCTTGGCCTAAAGCGCCCTCAATGAGAATATGCCATTATTCCCCTGTGATACGCATGGTAGAAACAGCGTACTTTCACTTTCATCAAACATGGCCTCATGAGGGCGCTGTCAGTGCCAAGGGTCTAATTAGCATAAAGCATAGGCCACGCCCACTGGCCGTGATATTTACCCACCCTCTGGGCGTTTACCAATTAGATCGAACGGACTAATGCCGGTCAGACGAGCGCGCTTGTAATCCTCCGGCTCCGCCCACTCTGAAATCAAATCAAGAAAAGAAAACACGCACTCAATTCATCCTCTTCTTTACATTGAAAGTCCTAAATACCAAGTTATCTGAAGTTCTCAGTTTTTAGCTGCGGGATAGCAGTTCAACAAGTCATCGTGTCTCTCCGTTAGGCCATTAAGTAACGTTAACACTGTCTATTGCTCCCACATATTTTTGCTGATTTCCACCAAACTTTGCCAAAAGTATCAGTAGCCCAGCCCCAACGTGTCAAAAGACCAAACTGGGGTCAAAGGTCGTCATGGATTTTTGTTTTCCTCAAACCACTACTTCCAGAAATTACATTCCACAATCACGTGACTCTCGCATAAATACGAGTTCCAGCATTTGCGCTCAAATAGCTGAAACATTGACTTATCTGCCCGAAACGACGTCACAGTTTTGCTCATGAATATGGAAATAAGCATTAGCATAAATACCCCCCCCCCCAAAAGGAACCTAAAACCTTGAAAAAGGCTAATTTCAAATTGAAATAGGGCTACATGAGACACAAAGGTGCACTTTCAAGGATTGCATTTATCAAATTACATTACTTGGGCCCTGTAAATCAAAGCAAAGACCGAAAAATGAATTGTCCTACCATCATCTCTCTTCCCAATCAGGTCAAACGGGCTAATCCCGGTAAGTCGGGCTCGCTTCACACCATCTGTTGAAAACAAGTAATATGATTGGTTCAAGAAAAACAGCCTTTGCAGATTTCCCCAGACCCTTGAAAATCTATACCTCTATTCATTGGGGTTTTTTTCTTCAAAAAGAGCAATGTAAAAGTAGCGTGCTGTGGCCTCGTAGTAATAGGCATTGGTACGTGGTCTGCGGGTAATTCTGCAGGTCGTGGGTTCGAGTCCAGCCTGGGGTCATGGTGCGTGTGCCCTTGAGCAAGGCACTTTGTCACTCATCGCTTCTCTCCACCCAGGAGTAGATGGGTACCTGTGAGGGCAGAGATAGTTACTGTGATTGAATTAGCTTCCTTGCGCCTAACAGGCTGCATCGAGCTGTGTACTCCCCAGGGAGCTGCGATGGTGATGATGACGTAACGCCTTGAGCACCAGTCCTGGTGGATACGTACGCTTTATAAAAAAAAAACCCACTATTATTATTAATACAGTATTGTTAAAAAAAACATTGTTACAGGGAATGGGTCGTTTGGGAGATATTCCCTTAGACATGTGCACACAATTTTGTCCATTTTTTTAACGTCACCTAACCCCAATTTTACCTGCTCCTATACCCTACGAATTCGGTATACATGTATTCATGTTTTGGACCACGAGCAATCGATCAAGCATGTTTGCGACGGTAAGATTTTGCTTTTAAATAGGAGCTGTGACATTAGTATGTCCGGTGTCTCCCTAAGGTTTAACTTATGACGACAAAATGTCTCCTTAAGGTACCATTAACAGGTGTTTGACTTACCATATGTCCGCTTCCCGATAAGGTCGAACGGGCTGATGCCGGTCAGTCTGGCCCGCTTATAAGCATCTTTTGGTCATAAAATAAAAAAGTTAAATGAAAAGTAAAGGAATTTAATTTATTAAAATTTGCAAACAGTGGGTTATCTTAACTTCAGTTGAGAATTTTCACAAAAGACGGATGAATGACAAAAATGATTGTTTAACTTGGAAAATGGATCACTGAAAGCATTTGCTAGCAAGGGCGGATCCAGCACACAATTTGGGATGGAGGCAAAAAAAAATGTTCCCCCCAAATGGGTAAAAATAAATACAGCGTCGGGCCCCGATTTTTTTTGGATTCTAGATGCTCTGTGGTGCAATCTGAGGCAATTTCTGACCACTTTTACCAATGTTTTCAAAGAAAAAGTGGTGGTGTACTCATTACCTGCCTTTATTGCGACGTCACTTAAAAACAAAAAAAAATGGGTTCGTTGTGGGTTTTTTTTTGGGGGGGGGGGCATGGCCCGCTTTGCCCCCCCCCCCCCACCTGGATCCGCCCTTGGTTGCCAGATTCGACAAGGCCGCATTTGACAGGTTCATTTAGCGGATAGGTTTACGGTCACAATAGAGAGGTGAGTGGTGACAGGATTTTAAAAACAACACAGTGAAAAGGATCATACGAGTTTCACCACAAAGTTTTTCTTCTCGAGTTTTCATACCTTCAGCTCTCTTGCCAATCAAATCAAACGGGCTTATCCCAGTCAGTCTAGCTCGTTTCATAGCATCTACTTTAAATTACAGACAGAGAGGGAGAAAAAAGAAGACAAGCTTTATATGAAATTATTGCAGTAAAAGTGAGGAAACATATTACTTGGCTGAAAAATGAGAAGTCCAAAAATACTGAATGACGGTTCAGGGACCATTCAGAATAGTCAATGTTAAAACAGTTTCATCTTTTTTTCTGAAATTATGGTGGGTGGGTTAAAGGAAATAACTGAAAATCGAAATTCGGTTTTCAATTAAAGTACTAGAAAAAATATAACAAGAAGAAGGGAAACAAAACAAAAATACCCAACGGCCTCTTCGAGATCGTCTGTCGTATCTGTCATTGGTCACAGCAAAGCTAATCATAACGAAGCCAAAATAACCCTTTTTTTTAAATAGTGTCTTAGAAAACTAAAAACACTGTACAAAGTTTTGTGTGCTTGGCAACTTCCGTCTGTACATTTTTCAAGGAGCCTGGAGAAGCCATTGAAAACTCCTGAGCTGGGAGAGCATTGACCTAAAATATCTGCTTCATTTAAAGCATCACTTTGTTCTTCAGTGTATGGGATATATAGGACAGTCATTCAACATTTACTAATCGAAATTTGGTGTGGATGGGTGGGTCAAAACAATTTCGAAAAACGATCGAAATTGTTAAGCTGGACTGAATCGCCCTTTAATACTGCGAATAATATGTTATTCTTGATTTTGTATGTCAGGGATTCCGATCGGACCCTTTATGTCACGCCATTTTGACTTGAAAGGGCATGAGGGAAAACAACCGTAGAAGTTGGCTTACCAGTGTCTCTTTTGCCAATGAGATCGAAGGGTGAAATTCCCGTCAACCGGGCCCGCTTCAGAAAGGCATCTGGAGTGAAAATTAAAACAAAAAATACCCCGTGGAAACTTTCAAAGGACTAACGCCTACAAAGACACACAGACAAAACACGACTTCAAGGCAAGGGGTAGGTATAAGTAAATATTAGGAGGGGGCAGTGCATGCTAGAAAACGAACAAAGATCGAGTGACGTTTTGGTGGTTGACCTCAGAAATAAGGGGGCACTGCAGCTTATTAAAAACAGCACAACATCGAAAAACAGGTTTTGTCTCAAATCGAAAGCGATGTAACTTGGATTTAGAAAATAAGAGGGTCGTAGACCTATTATTCTTCTATTTCACCCAAAGCTTGGGAGGTGTTGAAACTTGGAGTAAACTAAAAACAGGAACTATCACTTGACTTGAAAAGACTTGCGAGGGAAAACAGACCTCAAAGCAGTCGCAAAAACATAAAAAGCTTTCCTCGTGAAAAAGGCTGAGTTTTTACAGAATGAAAATAATTGGAAAAATCTGTAATTACCACTGTCACGTTTCCCGATGAGATCGAACGGTGAAATACCGGTAAGTCGTCCTCTCTTCATGAAATCATCTTGAGTAGTAAAAGATATAATTATTTGGTCAAACCCAGGGAAAACAATTTTAAACTAAAGAGACAATTCTACTTTTTAATTCATACCTTGCTAGTTTGGAGCCTTTTGGTAAAAAAGGCTGAGTTTTTAAAGAATAAAAAGAATCGAAAAATTCTGTAATTACCACTGTCACGTTTCCCGATGAGATCGAACGGTGAAATACCGGTTAGTCGACCTCTCTTCATGAAATCATCTTGAGTAATAAAATATATAATTATTTTGGTCAAACCCAGAGAAAACATTGTTAAAATAAAGAGACAATTACAATGTTTAATTCACACTATGCAAGTTTGGAGCCTTTTGGTAAAAAAGGCTGAGTTTTTAAAGAATGAAAAAAATTGGAAAATTCTGTTATTACCATTGTCCCGTTTCCCGATGAGATCGAACGGTGAAATACCGGTAAGTCGTCCTCTCTTCATGAAATCATCTTGAGTAGTAAGAGATAGAATTATTTTGGTCAAACCCAGGAAAAACAATTTAAAATAAAGAGACAATTTTACTTTTTAATTCATACTTTGCTAGTTTGGAGCCTTTTGGTAATAGAGGCCGAGTTAATAAAAATTTAAAGAATTAGAAAGTTCTGTTGTTACCACTGTCCCGTTTCCCAATGAGATCGAAAGGTGAAATGCCGGTAAGTCGTCCTCTCTTCATGAAATCATCTTGAGTAAGAAAAGATATAATTATTTTGGTCAAACCCAGGGAAAACAATTTTAAAATAAAGAGACAATTACAATTTGTAATTCACACTTTGCAAGTTTGGAGCCTTTTGGTGAAAAAGGCTGAGTTTTTCAAAGAATGAATAGCAAAAAGTCAATACTTGCTGCTATCTTAAGTAGATAGCAAAAAGTCAATACTTGTTGCTATCTTAGGTAGATAGCACAAAGTCAAAACTTGCTGCTATCTTAGGTAGATTGCGAAAAATCTATTTTTGATATCTTAGGTAGAAAGCACAAAGTCGATTCTTGTTGCTGTCTTAGGTAGATAGCAAAAAGTCAAAACTTGTTGCTATCTTAGGTAGAATAGCAAAAGGTCAAGAGTTGTTGCTTCCTAGGTAGATAGCAAAAAGTCAAGAGTCGTTGCTTCCTAGGTAGACAGCAAAAAGCCAATACTTGTTGCTATCTTAGGTAGATAGCAAAAAGTCAAGAGTTGTTGCTATCTTAGGTAGATAGCAAAAAGTCCATACTTGTTGCTATCTTAGGTAGATAGCAAAAAATCAATACTTGTTGCTAGGTAGATCGCAAAAAGTCAATAGTTGTTGCTATTTTAGGAAGATAGCAAAAAGACAATACTTGTTGCTATCTGAGGTAGATAGCAAAAAGTCAATATTATTTGTTGCTATCTTAGGTAGATAGCAAAAAGTCACCACTTGGCTTTTGCAATGTCTGAGGTTTTCAAACAATCAAAAAAAAATTGAAAGGTTTCTTCTCTTACCTTCATCCCGCTTTCCTATCAAGTCGAAAGGAGAGATACCCGTCAGACGTGCTCGTTTACTGTCATCTGCAGAGAGTGAAATAAGATAAAATTAGTTCAAGTTTTGTCTGTCAATTTATTTTTTTTGATGGGAGATGCTCATTGCGACTCAAAATATATTTTTTTTAAGCAAAGATCACTTACAATCGCTCCGCTTTCCTATCAGGTCGAAGGGTGAAATCCCAGTTAACCGTGCCCGCTTGAATTCAGTGTCTGCAAATAGCAATGAAAATTGACAGAAAACTGTTTGTTTCTCCAAGAAAAAAAAGGATTTTTTTCTCTGTTACCCTCCTATCATGATTGTACACATAGCAATACATACAGCGTTTCTCTTTGAGGAACTACCAAACTCACATCTTAATTTCATTTGTATCATTCATTCACATTAAAATTTTATTTCCATATCTCAATTCATAAAATACAAGTAAATATAGATTAACAACTCGGTGTATAATAAATGATATCAAGAAGTAACTTGAAACAAAAGGTGAAGATAGAGGCATGTCCTGGTAAGCGGTTGCTTGAGCGGGGGATGCGCATACGGGACAAAATGGACAGACAGACCGACGGACAGCTAGACAAAACATTCTGACAACAAAACACTAATCACGAAAAAAACCACGAGCCTAAAAAGGGTACTATACAATGATATTATGAGGATTATACAAACTCAGTATAATACAGATAAGTATTTTACAAAGAGCAATTCTACAGGTAAATTTAAAGTTTAGTTTTAAATATTTAAGTGTAGTTGAGCATCTTATACCACTGGGATGTTTGTTCCAGTTGATTGCGCCAGTATATCAAATTGTGTGTTGAATAAGTTGTGTCCTGTGCTTTGGAAGATGAATCCGTGGAGGATCCGTGTGTGCAATGAAATGAGATTGGGAGACTAAACGAACGGCTTTATATTTCAAAGAATGTCATATCAGTTTTCTTCAAACAATTCATTGCTGACTAAAGACAAAACCAGTTACCAATTAGTAAACCATGCGAAAAGAACATGCTGAAAAAATCCCGAAAGTACGAATTTGAATGGGTCATAAGAAAGTTACAACTTACGGCGTTGCGATTTTGTTTAAACTCTCAAAAGTCAAGTCACTCAAAGGGTAAACTGGACTTGCGGTTTAATGGTCTTTAAATGAACACCGTTCAAAAGCCCAAGTACGGTACAAGAAGTTATATCTGAACACGGCAGAAGAATTTGAATAGGTCTCTTGTCATAGAAAACTAGCAACCAAGTTGTGGTCACATGTGTCCAAAGTGTCCCTTGCATCTCAGGGTCGATTTTCATTTCTTTACAATGTCTCTGTTCTTGGAGCGTCTGATCTTTAGCCAGGCATTTCACCGATCAAGTACGGTAAAAGAAGTTATATCTGAACACGGCAGAAGAATTTGAATAGGTCTCTTGTCATCTGAAAAGAACTAGAAAACTAGCAACCAAATTGTGGTCACATGTGTCCAAAGTGTCCCTTGCATCTTAGGGTCGATTTTTATTTCTTTACAATGTCTCTGTTCTTGGAGCGTCTGATCTTTAGACAGGCATTTCACCGATCAAGTACGGTAAAAGAAGTTATATCTGAACACGGCAGAAGAATTTGAATAGGTCTCTTGTCATCTGAAAAGATATAGAAAACTAGCAACCAAATTGTGGTCACATGTGTCCAAAGTGTCCCTTGCATCTTAGGGTCGATTTTTATTTCTCCGATTTTTATTACAATGTCTCTGTTCTTGGAGCGTCTGATCTTTAGCCTGGCATTTCACCGATCAAGAAAAACATAAACCCGGTCGCAAGATAGTCTCAGACAAAACAAAACTGCAAAGATTCTGAGCAATCTGCCCCTACCCCACGCCCCTTCAAAACCACATAAACATTGGGCATAAATAAAAATTGTCTCCTCTATTCGAAATCGGACAAGACATTTGCACGAAAAGTGAGAACACCTAGTCCTAAACACAGTGAAAGATGATGGTGTCTTTTCAAATTTGAGAATAGGATAAAAAATATCTGGTAAAAAGTGCTTTGTGTGGACTGATTTCTAATAAAACCCAGGAAGTGAAAACAAGGTCCCTGGATTTGGGATACAATCGTGGAAGGAAAGTCGAGAAGGGATAAAGGAAACTGAAAGCCTGACACAGAAGGAAGAGGAAAAACCGCAGGAGTAAGAAAGAAAAGGCAGAAAAAAGAGTTCTTCCTTTTGAAAGAAGATTTCGAGGCGGTCGAAAGGACGGAGATGAAGTAAAGGAAAGGTTTTTGGTACTGGACCCCAAAAGGATATCTTCATGTGCTATAGGGTGTAAAATGTACCCCTGCTAATAAGCCTTCATTATAGATTACATGAAATTACTCCAAGTTTGTACTTTGTATCAAAACTCAAAACGTACCTTGAATTGGGGCGAACTCGAACTCTGCGGTGTTTTGGGCCGGCCAATCAGGGGACGTCTTACTGTCGGCTTCGTCCGCGTTATCCAATGGCGCGGCAGGACACAAAAGAATGGAGAGACTCAGGACCAGGCAACCAATCAGATGAAAGCAATGGGCGGCCATGTTAATGCCTAAGGAATAATCAGAGTATTCGAACGTCAATTTGTAAATTTGTCTAATTAGCAGAAAATGGTAAAGTTAGCTCTAGTTTTACGAGCAAGAAAAACTTTGAAAGTGAAACTTACCAATAACGATCAAAACAAGTGTTGAATCCAACACTTACATGTGTTTGGTAAGTGACCACAACGTGAAAGTGTTAAATACAGCATTTTAAATGTTAAATCCAACACTTAAACTGTTAATTCAACATTTTAAATGTCGATCATGTTGATTCAACACTTTCAAAAGTGTTAACGTTGAAAAATGTTGAATTAGCACTTATATAACAATATAAGTTATTAACTTATACTGTTAATTCAACAAAATTAACAGTATAAGTATTGAATTTAATATTTCAAATGCTGGGTTCCATATTTAAAATGCTGCATTTAACACTTTCAAAGTGTGGTCACTGACCGAACTCATGTAAGTGTTTGATTCAAACTTCAGTTTTTAGAGTGAAGAAGAATATAGATAATTAAAGACCAGGGCCCAATTTCACGGCACTGCTAAGCACACACACAACAATGCTTAGCACACAAAAAGTCTGGCTTATAAAAGCAGGTTACCAGCCAAAACACCATGTGATTTTCATGCTAAGCAAACAACAGCTGAATACTAACCACGAGCAATTAACAATACGTGGAGTCTTGACTGGTAACCTGCTTTTATAAGCCAGACTTTTTTGTGCTAAGCAAATTTTTGTGCTGAGCAGTGCCGTGAAATTGGCACCAGCACTAGAATTCCACTTGTTTCTCTTTTTTTTCTGAACTAACATAACCAAAGATAAAAATTCAGAAACAAAACCAAAATAGAAACAAAAAAGACTAACTCACCCTTCAGAGCTTGGTCCTTTGGTGTGTAAAGACAAAAGCACCGGCACTAGTGCAAAACAAATCGATTCTGATTAGGTCTGAAAATTTTCCCGCCCTTTTTATAAACCCTCTCGAAGTCAACACCAGCTATTTCCAATCTATGCTTCGTGACCAATAATTCCCTCAGATCCGTCTGCAATCATTTGCTAAACCACCCCAAATCACGACAGTTTAGAGCTGCTTTTTGAAACGGGGGATAAAACCTCATTTTGTCATTTTCGTGACTTGTGTGATTTTAATCAGGGGTTAGGTTTTTTTCCCGCGGTGTGTACCGCCATCGTGATATCGTCTGTACAGATGTTGTTTGCCCAAAAAAAACCCAAAGGCGCCAACAGATTTGTGTCGTGCTTTTATTTGTTCGTTCATACGTGGTTGAAGGTCTTCGGCGTTCACTGGAATGAAATAACAATTGAGAAAAGTAAATAATTTACTCTTGTAAACAAGTGTTATGAACTCATCTTGCTGAAACTGATTTTCAATTTTTTGGAGTGCCAAAAAAAATGTTGGTTCCCCAAAAAGTGGGTCAGAAAAATTACGGCGCGGGGTTCGAGGCCCGCTTAAGGTTTTTTGAGGAAAAGATGGTGGTGTATTCATTGCCTGCCTTTATTGCGACGTCACATAAAGAAACAAAATTGGGTTCGGTTTTTTTTTTTTTTTGGGGGGGGGCATGGCCCCCTTTGCCCACCCCCCCCCCCCGGATCCGCCCTTGACTGATTTCAGAACAAAGTTTCGTGCAAGTCAATTTAGTTCCGTTGAGATGCAAAGCTGAGTGACTGAGTTACTTAGTGAGTGATTTAAAAAGGGCATGAAGTGAATCTCCTCTTAAATGTATGAAAACTATTTGACATTTCTTTTTGGTTGATTTTATTGAAAAGTGCCGTTTTTAAACTATGGTTTTCCATGCTTTTTCTGACAACTGAGGGTGCTGTTTCTGTGATGTCATTTCAGGAAAACACTGTTCAGTTTAGTGGTTTTCTGTTAAATCATGAACCCAACAGTTTCTCATTGAAAACATTTGTAAGAAACGTTTGCTCATTGGCTTACTGTCATGTACTGACACAACGACGAATCACCAAAGAAAAGAAAATTTACGACAGCGAAATATCCAAAATTCTGGCAACTTTTGGTGCTGAAATACCTGTCATATTGAGGTTTCTGCCTGAAATTTCATCACACTTTTGCTCATGAATATGATAATTTGCATTAGCATAAAATAAAAGAAAAACCAAAATACCCTTGAAAATGGCAAAACGAAATTGAAAATAAGGTTAAATGGGACACAAAGGTGCATTTTCAAGGATTGCATTAAAACAATTACATTGCAACAATTGTAAAACATTGCCTTAAATGTAGCACTTTGAATTTGAAATAGCATACAAGAAAACAAAGTACGAAGTGCTCAAATTTAATGAGAACATCGTTCCAATGATAATTGGAGCATTCCTATAAAGAACAAAATGTGCGCGTGGACGCCCAGGAATAATTTCCTTTATTACTCAAGGTGCGCCATGATATCTTGTTAATTGACAAGATACATAACAGGTGGCTCGCCTATGAAGAGGTGACGAAGTGAAAAACAATTATCACAGACGCTTGCCAATCGCTGACGAGATACAGGGCCGGCTCTGGGGCGGATCAGGCCTAGCAAATGAGATTGGAATCCCTTAGAGGCACCGACGGCCGGCTGGTTAAAAAAAAAATGGTTAGGGAGTTTGAATTGATGATGAAGAAGAGGATGGGGTGGCTGTGGAGCATGACAGAAGGGGGATTAATTGAATGCGGGATGCGGTCTGGCTGTTGCTCATTAATGTCCTATGGCAACTGCCCTAATTTCTTGTCTAATTTATACGGGAAATAACTGGTTTTCGCAAAGATTAGCAGGTGTTCGGATTTCCGTAAGGAAGAGATGGGATATGTTGATCGTAGCATATTTTGTTACTATACAGGGTGAGTAAAAATAAGACGAAACCCAAATGTCGGGACCATTTTTTATAGTAAAGTTCTGCATGTAGCACTTTCAAAATCTAGCATATGAAAGCCCAATTTATAAGGTTTATTTCAGTACAAGAATAATTCAAACCACTTATGTACTTTTTAAGTTACGGAATTTCAAACACAATCATTTTTGAGTTCCGTCCACCGATCACAAAAAAGGTAAGCGTTCTTTCAGCAACACGAAAGCAAATCACATGGGAATGTGTTTGAAATTCCGTAACTCAAAAAGCACATAAGTGGTTTGAATGATTCTTGTACTAAAAGAAAGCTTATGAATTGGGCTTTCATATCCTAGATTTTGAAAGTGCTACATGCAGAACCTCACTAAAAAATGGTCCCGATATTTGGGTTTCGGTTTTGTTTTTTGGGTTTTTTTTACTCACCCTGTACATGTATATTACACTGTAGAAAAAAATGGTGAAGGAAAAAATGGTCAGTGATATTTTTTGAGGGACAGTTGGTATGGAATCATGCCAACTTTTACTTCGAATGCAATTTTGATTTTCTTTTGGAAAGACTTTGCTCAGCAGTACAAGCAGTTGATATTTTGAGCATCGTGGCATACTACATACAGCAACTGTTAGGGGTGCAAGCCACTTCTATTCCGGGTTGAAAAGAGGGAAAATTTGGGGGTCCTGGTTTCAAAAATAAAATTGCAAAGTATTGTTCTCAGCTGCATGAATATTTATCATAAGCAGGCCGACCTACATAAATGAAGAGCGCCATTATTCAATGCAGTATTTAAATTGAAATACATCGTGCTAGTTTAAAGGACATAGGGTTCAAAGCCGAAAAAAAATCCCTTCTTTATTATCTATTTATTAGCAGATACGGATACGCTTTGATTCCCACGCAAAATGAACAAGCCCACGAAAACCTTGTAAAACTTAAATTTCCTTTTGTTAAATTACGGTTAACAACATGTTTCATTTATTTTTGATCACATGGGAATTATGAGACTTAACGAAGAGGCTCAACGGGTCATCACGAACTTGCAACGATTCAAAGCTTTCTTCTGCAAATAAAAAAAAGAAGATGCGAAAACCTTCAATATCTTTGGATTATTTCTTTTCTTTTTAGGAATTTCTCTTGGCCTCTGTGGTTGGAGAGCAACAGTTCAGTCGTGACTGGAGGCTTACAGGAATAATTATGAACTTTATCGAGGTTAACTCGCCTTGGGGGAGGACCGTACGTACACGGCCGATAGAGCCTCAAGATACTTATCAGCAGTCACAATTTCTAGTTTGGTGTTCGGTGTGATTAGGAGTGAGAATTGATGTGTAGTTTTAGTGATGGATTGGTATTTTGTGCAAATTCAAACGACGCATTGTATTGAAATACACTTACAATAAGGAGTGCCGTGGCTGGTAGTCTGGAACATTGAATTCGTGGTCTGCGGGTAATTCTGGTTGTGGGTTTGAGTCCAGCCTGGGGCTGTGGTGCGTGTGCCCTTGGGCAAGACACTTTGTTACTCATTGCTTCTCCCCACTCAGGGGTAAATTGGGTACCTGTGAGGGCAGAGATGGTTATTGTGGTTGATTTTCGCTGCTATGCGCCGAAATGGCAGCATTGAGCTGTATACTCCCCAGGGAGCTGAGAAGGTATTTGGAATGTTTCATTGGCCCAATGAGCATGGTAATAATGATGTAGCGCCTTGAGTACTAATATTGGTGGATACGTGCGCTTTATATAAATACACATTATTATAATTATTATTATTATTATCACAAAATATTAAAAGGGGAAAACTCGGCCTATACTAAGGTTCGACGGGCACATTTTTAAATAGACTTTGTCCAACCTAAAATTGGAAGTCGTGGTATACAACGTGATGCTGACTCTGAGCTGAGCAGACTGCTCTTTCCTATATTGCAAGTGTATCTTTCGAATTATGGTTTAAGTGTTGACAGTTTGGCTCTGTCATTTGGCTAAAATTACATGTGTGTTTATGTTTTTCCCTGCCAGTTGCCCATCTGAAACAGTCTTCATTTTTCGGTTATTTTGAAATCCCGAAGAGTCCATTCATTTTGAAACAAGAAGGGGAAAGGGAGGACAAGACCATTTCAGAAAACAAATCTAAAAAACCAAAAAAGATTGTAATGAAAATGTTTTGCTTTACAAAAGAATATAAACAGAACAAAAAGTAAAAGACATAGACTCCTTTACATTCCTTAATTGCATCCAGAAACACGGCGAGTCCCTCGGCGCCAATTTCCAAAAATGACGCACATTGGATTCCGGCTAAAAAAACTTAAAGTAAATGTTTTATCATTTCCCGGCATCGAATACAAATCTTAAATGGATTTTAATTATTCAAGATATTCGGACGGCGTGGCCATTTTTGGATTTCAATTTAAATAAATTACCCTTTAGCTAAGTAAACAAACACATTACGAGTGAAAAGCCGGTGGTATTCATACGAAGCCTTGTTTTATCTTGGCGATCTCCGGGCTCGAGTCCCGCAAGACCTAGAAATTGGCCAGCGTCCGATGCCGTCGACAGGACGAAATTCTCCTGTGGCGTGGCTGTTACATTTCATGCCTTGCGCTGTTCCTTTTCCAGAAAACCCCGCATTCTGATACGGAATTCCGGTCAGACTCGACATTCTCGTTCCAGAGGGGTGCCCCGTGGGGCCTAGTCCAATGGGGCCGATCCATTCTAACACAAGAGACGGAATAATGAAATCAATATCATAACTGCAAGAAAGTCTAGATCGTTTTCTCAAAAGACTATTTGTTTGAGGGGGGGTAGCATAAAGTCTCATTTTTATTTCGTAAAAAGGTGTATATCAGTGACCCGTGGTTTGAGAATTTGTGGAAGTGCTCTTGACTATTTTCTGGGCCGTGACGGTCGATTAGAACAGCTTCTGTTTCCCGTTTCTTCTTCTGCAAAGGGTATATCTTTTCCCAAGCACATAATGCTTGAAAAAAAAAAAGGTATAATGTTACCCATTTTTTTTCAGCAGCCATCTTTGAAGTGTGTTTTGTTATTTTAAAAACTAAGACAGTTCACCCAATCCTATTGGTCGACAGCACGTCACGTGGCTGGTCTTAAAAGGTTGATAAAACACCTGCTGGATGGTCTTTAACACTTTTCCAGTGTCAAAGGAGTTTTGTACTATGATTCTGGTTCCTTTTACCCTTGTATTGGTTGAACGTTCA